TGGCAGGGTACCGTTTGGGCAGACGGCTGCATCGTTCCAAACCATCTTTTTGCTCTTTGCCTCTTTCTTTTCCCCCGTCTCCGGGGAGATGTTGCCTACCAAAAAGCAGAGAAGGATTATTTATTTTTTTTTCAGCACTTTTGCCTTGTCAAAGCAGCCGGCACCAGCACCGTGCCAGGATGCCTGAGGACCACCCCTGATCCTGCCCTCCCTGTCCATCCAGCAGAAAATGGTGCCCTTCATGCTCTGATTTCTGCCCCGATCCCGTTCTCCGGCCAGAAACACCCCATCCATCCGCAGCACTCGTGTCTGCCGGTGCTGGGGGCTCGTCCCAGCTCGTCCTGCTCCCCCCAGTTCTCAGGCAGGAGCCCCGGGATGCAGGGAGGTGTCGAAGGATGGAGCGGAGCGGAGGGGTGAGGATGGCTCTGCTCTCCGGTGGCTCAGGGGGCTTCAAAATGTGGCGTCGCAGCTCAGATGGGATCTCTGCCTTTTGCCTTCCCGAGACCAGAGCCCACCGTGGGGGCGTGTGAATGGCTGAAATACGTTTTATCTGTATGAAATGTTTTTTGTTTTTTTTTTTTTATTCCTGTCTCTGCTTCTCCCTCTCTCCGGTCTGAAGCGAGCGCGGAGCCTTGGACCTGGCAAACCTGGGGGACAACATCCTTCTCCAGACCAAAACATCGCTGCAGAATGGTTTGGAAACTGCCTTTTCTGGCCAAAAAAAAAAAAAAAAATAATAAAAATCTATTCCCAGCACAAACGTTCCCAGCAGCTCGGAGACCCATGTCCCCCTGGCGCAGGGCTGGGCGGAGGGGACCCATCCCTGGCTGGCAGCTCTTGTCACCCCTTTTTGTCACCCCGTGGAGCTGGGGAGAGGGGACGGGGCTGCGGGAGCCGGGGAGGGTTGTGCTGGAGACGCTGTTGTCTCTCGCCTGCCTTTCATCGCCTTCCCCGTCGCCCCGCATCACCACCAGCGCTTGGCACCGGCGCTGGGAAACGGCAGATTAAAGCCTGCAAGAAACAAAACCGCTCCGCGCTCGTTTTAGAAAGTCAGGGTTTCCCCCGAAAACTCGGCACATCTTATTTCATTTTTTTATTATTATTTTTCATTTCAATTCCTATTTTGCCTCTCAAACAGGAGCAATATCTGCTTCACGCCCTATTGCCTGGAGCAGACCTGACCCCATCTCCCCCTTCCCCTGTGCCCCTCCACCCTGCCCCATGCGAGACCCCCCCTGGCTGAAGGGATGCTGAACCCCAACATTCCCCAAAAAGCAAACCCTAACCTCCCCCCACACCCCTGCTGTGATTTTTTTTTCCCTCTGCTTTACAAGCAAAGGCCCCCTCTGCTTCCAAACTCTGCCAAAAAGTTTGGGTACCAGCATCCCCCGTGCAGGGCAGCAGAGATGGGGCCCAGACGGCTGCGGTTTGGGAGTCAGTAACATCCCCCCGGTTTTACTGGGAGCGATACCATCCCTCGGCTCAGCTATTTATTGGGCTGCTTAATCTCAAAATTATTTAGGCGCTGGTTCAATGCAATAAACAGCAACAAGAAAAAGTCAGCGGCGGGGTCTGCCCCGCAGCAGCATCCCGGGGGATGTGCCAGGAGGTTGTTTTTAGCTGGAAAAAAAAATAACTTTTCATTTGGGCTTAACCAGCTGCAGCCAGAGCTAAGGCCGGGCCCTGGGCCACGCTTCAGAAACCAGCAGTGAGGATTCGGAGCCCAAAATGCCGCAAGGAGCTGCGCCAGGAGCTGCCTCAGGGCTGGGGGGCCGTGTGGTGTTCTAATTTTCCCCCTTCGTTCTTTGGCTGGAGCTCAGCCCGACCATGGGAAGCGGCTGCAGCCCAACGTGGCAAACGATGGGGGACGAGAGAGGAATCTGCCTGCGGTGTCTCCTGCCTGGACCACGCGCCCGGTCCAGCATCCTCCTCCTGCCCCAGCGTCCTCCTGCCCAACTCGGCAGCATCCTCCTGGGAGGCATTGCTGAGCCACGGAGGGATCGTTTCGCAATGTAAAGCTGCTTGATGAATTAAACCGGCGGGGTGAGAAGACCCGTGCTCTCTCCGCGGAGAGCATCATGTGCGCATCCCTCACCTGCCGCTCTGCCCGTGGACACGGTTTCAAGAGTGTGTGTGGGATTTTAACAGCGCTGCCTTCAAGGGATGGATGCTCTGGATGCTCTCACCCCCATGCTGTCCCCGCAGCGTGCTGGGAATAAACCAGCAGGGATGAATCTGGCTTAAAAAGAAAAATTTGAAAATAAAGCAAAAAGAAAAAAAAAAATCCACCCTGGATCCCTCCGTTGGCTCCGCTCGGCTTCAGAGCTGTGAAGTCAAACCATCCTGGAAGCACTGGAGATCTCATGCTGTGCAACTTGTGAAGGACGATGCTGGACGGTGTCTTCTCATCCTGCCCAGGAACCGGCTCTATAAACTACAGACGAAATATCCACCCGTTACCGCCCACCGGCGTATCCCCAGCCCAGGAGGTACCTTCTGCGGGAGGAGATTCCTACGGAGAGAAGGGCCATTTCACCAAAAACCACCAGCAAAAGGAAATCGTTGGGTTGTCCCCAACGCTGACCATCCAGAGTGACCCCAGGGTGGCCCTTGGGCCATGGCAGCAGAGGGTGGAGGCAGGAGAGACGAGGGGCACCGCTAATTGCAGTTACCCCACGGGACCTCCAGGCTGGCACACGGCTATGGGACAGCTGTAGTTTGGGCCAAAAATGGACAAAATGTGGAAAATGGGTTGGGGGAAACCACTGCCGTGGGCTGTGTGCGGGAGGGATGTCCGGGGGAGGGCGCAGACCCCACCAGCAGCTGTGAGAGGGTCTCCCATGCCCGGAGTCACCCCAACCAGTGCCGGTGGGGCTCCAGGTTCTCTGTGGGGACACCTCTGTCCCCAGGGGAGGAGGTGGAGGGGGGTTTATTACAGCCCTTCAACCACCTCTTTAACGGAGCACCTACACAAAGCCGGAGCTCATGCGCAGCTCAAATGGGGTAGGGTCACAGCCGGCCCAAAAAACATCCCCCAAAGGGGCGAAAAGGGCGGTGGGGGATGGAGAGAGAAGGGCTGAAGCCGCCACGCCAAAAAAAAAAACCCAGCAGATGCCAATTGCGAAGGATTCAGAGCCAAACCCGGGAGCACAACCGCTGCGGCCACAATCGGCCACATCAGCCGCAGCTTTGGGGGGACCACAGCTCCCACCCCACACCTGATGCTGCTCAGCCCACCAGGTCCCACCAAGAGGATTTGCAGCCCTTCCTCCCTCCTCTTCCTCCTCCCTCCTCCCATCTTCTCTCCCGCAGCGAGG